ACTCAGCCATAGCTCAGTAGAATGGGTTTACAACTCGGGTATCAGCTGGCCTGCATGCACTGCGTCTCCATTACTCGGTGGCACACAGGGAGCCAGGCAGGACCACATGCGCAGGATCGGGAAGACATCATGTGACCTCACGGTGAACGAGCATCAGTCTCTTGGCCCGCCACCTGTCTCGACAGTCCTGAAGCTCGGAAGCTCGTGCCAGAGCATTTTGCCGCCTATCGTGCGTATGCGTGGCGGTGATCTTCAGGCTAGCTGCCGTTCGGCTTTCCGATTGTTCGGAAAGGTTATTGAGACGCGGGCAGGGTTCAGTGGTTGTAGTGGTTCCAACTGCATTGCGAGTTGTACGTGTGGTTCAGATTGATTATTTATTTTAGAGCATGAGACTGAGAGGAAGCAGCCTGATGGTGTTCAATTGTGTGTATAATAATATTTGTAGTATCATAGAGTTCTTGGGCAGTATTTAGTTGTAAAAACTTTTGCTTTTATTAATTATTTATTTTTGTGTTGTAACGAGACTTGATTGATTAATGGTTATAGATTACGAATCAAGCCGCTATAGCAAGAGCTACAATCAAAGCTCGATTCTCATGTTTTATTCGTGCCTAACTTCAATGACATTCGAGCTGATGAAATTCAAATCGATCTCGAGTATTCTTATACTTCTGCGGTGTCCTGTCTGAGCGTAACGTTAAAAAGTCGAGCTAGAACAACAGAAAATAAATTGAACTAATACTCGATAAAGTCAATGCTCGACTAGACTTGTTTGCATCCATAATTTATATTTTTCAAATCATGATTCGAAAAGATACCACAGTCTGTACATAAAGTTTATTAACCTATCACAATCACAAACTCACACTTCCCACATTATTATCTCCAACTCCAAACACACAAAGAATAAAAACATTATTCAAACATTTTGCTTTATTTTCCAGTCTGACCCCGCCTTTAGATTTGATGAACACATCTTTCAGAGAGAGCTCCACGAACTCCTTGATATCTATACAGTACACACACACACACACCCCACCACCACCATCTCCCCATAAAATCCTTAACCGCACGAACCAACACAAACGCAGCCAGTAACTCTTTAACTAAAGCGGCTGCGGCCTTGTCTGAACAACAAACACCTCACCCCCAACCAAACACCCCTCAACGTCCTGCGGCCCTCCGAACTTCCCCTCCAAGAACATACCCACCGACCCCAGCCTCCTCCCCACCCCCTCCCGAAAAACGGCCTGCACCGTCAT